AAAATACTATATAGGTACATTCACAGGTAAACTATATAGGTACAACCACAGGTAAACTATATAGGTACAATCACAGGTAAACTATATAGGTACAATCACGGGTTAACTATATAGTTACAATCACGGGTAAACTATATAGGTACAATCACAGGTAAACTATATAGGTACAATCACAGGTTAATTATATAGGTACAACCACAGGTTAACTATATAGGTACAATCACAGGTTAACTATATAGGTACAATCACAGGTAAACTATATAGGTACAATCACGGGTAAATTATATAGGTACAATCACAGGTAAATTATATAGGTACAATCACAGGTAAACTATATAGGTACAATCACGGGTAAACTATATAGGTACAATCACAGGTAAACTATATAGGTACAATCACAGGTAAACTATATAGGTACAATCACAGGTAAACTATATAGGTACAATCACAGGTAAACTATATAGGTACAATCACAGGTAAACTATATAGGTACAATCACAGGTAAACTATATAGGTACAATCACAGGTAAACTATATAGGTACAATCACAGGTAAACTATATAGGTACAATCACAGGTAAACTATATAGTTACAATCACAGGTAAACTATATAGTTACAATCACAGGTAAACTATATAGGTACAATCACAGGTAAACTATATAGGTACAATCACAGGTAAACTTATAAAAATTATTCACTGGCAGATTACACCTGAACTAGTCTATTAACGTATACACGAACAGTAAGTAACACATGTTCAGAGATTCAGAGATTTTTATTATCACTCAGGCACACTGTTGTGCGCAACAAGAGGTCATCATAAAATACAATATAACAATGATATGGTTGACCGTAAAGCACTCATCTTACTATGCTAGCGTACAATAATATAGTGGAAACTATTACACTCCTCATACAATGATAAACACAATATTACACTGTACTAGCATACCTTATTATAATAGACAATATAACGCACTGATCATACAATGACACTCATCATACACTGTGATATACATTATTACACTCATTTTACAATACTATTACGATGGTATAATACATAGCATTACATTCACACATCCCGTGCGTTCACACTGTGGTATAGCAGGCACTGTTGCATCCATCTTACAGTACAATCCTACAATAATATTATTACAGTATTACACATATGTTACTCGCACTCCATGATACATGTATTATAGATAGTATACCACACCATACAGTGCAATTATACCATGGCATAATAGTGACTATCATACTCATCATACCATATAATATTACAAAGGTATAATAGACAGTGTTACAATCCCATCATACAATACTGTAATAGACAGATAACAAACAAACCATGATAAGCAAGCTGTAACCACACTCATTATGCAATACAGTTATGTTAGGTTTAACAAATGATCAGTAATATCTATATGTATACAAAAGTTTACAGTTTGATGTGTGAAATTCACATATTATTTTTTAATTGTCTTTCTAGTAAGTGTATGAACAGCGATAGATTTGATAATATTCCAGCATTACATATTGATATTAATCCTTTCATTTTATGAACAGATGGATTAGAGGTGTAATAAATAGGTATATATTTTCTGCGGATTTGACTTACATAAGCACTTGAACATATAAACAAATAATGATACTCGCTTCCAACTCCAGTAAAACAAAGCGGACAGATTCTGCCTTCACGTGGTGTTGTAGTCCATCGCCCAGTCTCTATAGGCAGAGATATATTACTGGTTCTGAATTACAGATAGTTATTCTATCTTTTTGTTTGAGCATAGTTAAGTGAACTGAAATTGATGTTTAAATATTGCATATGTTTGACCCCGGGAAGAATTTTCAATATCAGTATACCATTGTTGTATAAATTGGTCATACAGAAAAGTTTTAAAACTAACCCTAAGGTAATTTTATTCATAGTGCAAGTTTTTTGTTGTAACCATACGTAACTTAGTTCCGTGCAATTGAATAGATTCTTGATATATGAAATCCATGTAAAATCAGCGAAATCATTTTCATGTAAATTCAGCATAAGCTTGTTCATTATACTAGACAATTTATTTTCACCTGTAATTAGTTTATGCCAAAACATTATCATTCTAGATTTAATTTCAATATTCAGAGGGTACCTACCCGTTTCACCATATACCACTATATTTGCTTTGGAGCTACGTATGTTTCAAATTCTTTTACAAAACTGTACATGTAATTTCTCAATCATATTGGTATTTTCAACCCCCCAAATTTCTTAGGAGTACAAGAGGATTGGGGATATTAATACATCAAACAATTTTAATTGTAGGTCAATATTTTTTATTTTTTTATATAATGCATACATTGCTTTTTGAGCCTGTTCAACAAGTTTTTTTCTTGCTTTACAGAAACTGCCATTGTAATGAAACAGCAGTCCTAGAAACGAGTTACTGTCATGTGTTTGCAACTCTTCACCAAAAAGAGTAAAACGAATATTTTGTGCATTACTTTTTTCTTTTTTCAAAGATAACAACTTTGGTTTTATTGAGATTAACTTTAAGTTTCCAAATAGTACAGTAAGTTTCAAATTCACGGAAAGCATTCTGTAGACCTTTAGCTGTTTCTGACATAACAACTGTGTCATCTGCATATAGCAGAATAAATAATTTAACAAATATACCCATGCGATCTTGAAATAAATTATCAATATAATGGAGTTGGTCAACATTATTTTGCATTAAAAATTCTTCTAAATCATTTAAATATATTGAGAACAAAAATGGGGAGAGATTTTCACCTTGTTTTACCCCGACGTGACATGTGAAAAAATCAGTCATACCATTGCTAGTTTTTACGCAAGATTTAGTGTTTGCATACAGATTAATTATAGCATTAAATATCTTTCCTGTGATATTATTTTTTAATAATTTCTTCCATAAACCTACTCTCCAAACAGTATCAAACGCTTTTCTGAAATCGATGAATGAACAGAATAGCTTTTTACTTTTTGAAAAGTATATAGATATTAAAGCATGAAGGATAAATATATTTTCAGTTGTAGAATAGCCTTTCCTAAAACCAGCTTGAACATTGGAAATTAGATCAATTTCTTCTGAAAGTCTATTTAATCTAGAGTTCAAAATAGCAGTAAATACTTTGCCAAGACATGAGACTAATGTAATAGCTCGATAGTTATCGAGATTTTTAGGGTCACCCTTCTTTTTGTATATGGGTTTTATTACTCCAATTGTCCATGCTTCTGGTACACGGCCAGAGTTCAATATAACATTAAAAAGTTTAACATATATAGGTAGTAGTATAGACTGTGTATTTTTGATATGCTCATTTAATATATTATCGATACCCGGCGCTTTATTATTACGAAGGTTAACTATAACCTGTCTAATTTCATTTTCAGTCACATCACTATTTAGTATAAAATCAAACATATTTTCATTCATATCTGGAATAATAAACTCATCCTCATCTTCATCTTCATCTGAACTATTTAATTTCTTGAAGTATTCATATAGCTCGTCCAAAGATATATCAGCATCACTGTTATCATTTTTAGATTTATTGAATGAATTTAAAATATTCCAAAAATCTTTAGGATTTGATTTTGACGTGATTCGTATTTGATTTTCAATGTTATGTCTATATGTGTTATAGCTCTTTTTAAGGACCTTTTTATAGTCTCTAGGAGTTTTATTCATATTAACTCGGTGAATACTGGTTCTATGATTTTTAAATTTATGTTTTGCATAAAAAGGCACGCCTTTTTCTGTGACAGTCAGCTGTAAATCATGGCTTATCATTAGCAACTTTATGTGTATTGAGTGTTCTATAATTTTGTTTTAATCCGAAAGTATCGGTAGCTGGAATTCGGAACAACTCGGAAATATAATTAAATACATCACTTACTGACTAACTGACAGAAGTTTTGTCAGACAAAACATTAAGTGCATCATTCATGCGATTTAATTCATCGACAGAACAACTTTGTACATGATGTATAAATTCATTTTTCTTAGCATTCTTCCATGTTATATATAGACCTTGACCGTTACCTTGACCTTGTCCAACATGCATATTATCAGAGTCATTCGTGTTTTTCCAAAAAGTCACTGAGAGTAAAAAATAACCTACAATGCATATCGGATATTGTTGGATCAAACTCAAGAACTTCAAATTCAATTATAAAAGGGAATAACCCTGACGATACGATTAGATAGTCAACAACACTGACGTCACCACAGTTTTTTTTTTACCTATATGCTTATCTTTACCAACTCTACCATTCGCAATGTATAAATTGTTCTTTTTACACAGGTCAAGTAGTTTAAATCCATAAGTATTAGGTCTGGATGAGCACTGGCTACATCGCTGCAATGGAATATTAAAAACATTTAACATTTCATAATCATGAAAATAAGAATGTAACACATCACTATTGTCTTTATCTACGATATCTGCAAAGCTATCGTCAGGTATCTCATAGTCTGGACGCTGTCCAGTTTTGGCATTGAAATCACCAACCAAGATAGTGTTACTTTCACTATGTTGAAGCTCATGTAACTCATTTTCAATATCATTAAATACCTCGAGAGACGAGTACCTAGAGTTTTCGGGTGGTATATAAGTACAACCTAAAAGTAGGTCACCTTCAGTATTTGTTACCTTTTCAGATAATTTGACCCATTGAACGTATTCAGAGCCTGTACATTATAGGATAAAACTTCAAAAATTGTTTTAGTTTCTTTTTGTAAATAATTACAATTCCACCGGATTTTTTCTTAAAATTAGATCTGTTTTTCACGAAATATGAATAATTTTCAGGCATTTCCAGAATATCAAAATTGTCAATTTTAGTTTCAACAAAAACAAGAATATCATGAGATGTAACTATATCAATAAACTCAGGCAAAAGTAACTTAGACTTAATGCCACAAACATTTAAACAAGTCAGTTTCAAGTCAGGACACACACCACCATGGTTACCATGGTGACTTACACCGGAACCTCTTGTGACGCGTCCCTAGCGACGATGGCCAGTTGCTCCTGGCGCAGCGACATAGCGCGTTTGGTCCTGATGATGAGACGGAAAACGAAGTTGGGATGGCGGCCGACGCTGCTGTGACGGTGTTTGTGGATGTAGTGGTTGAGTGTAAAGTTGCCCATCGACGTACAACTTATCCACTCTCAGCGTAGCCCTTTTACCGTGACGTTTCGCTTCCTTCACGATCGGGATGAGCTCTCTGCGCCTCTCGTTAATCTCGGCGGGAAACTGTTCATTAACGGGGAACTCATTTCCCCCCTTAATTTAACTGGCGCCGACTTTAAGACCATCTCGCGATCCTTTCTATTTTCGAATTTGGCTATAATCGTTCTGGGTTTCCCGTCTGATCTAGGCCGTAACCTGTGTACAACACTGAATTTCATATCGGACTTGATTTCTAGCTGTTTCTGGATAAATTCTTTTACAGCCCCCTCCGTGTTTTCCTCCCCTGACTGCTCCGGTATACCCCCGAATAACAAATTATCCTTCATAGATCTACCCTGGAGAGCAAGTATTTGTTCTTTCATCTCCTGACACTCCCACATTTGATCATCGCGAACTTGCTCTATATTACTGACCCTCTCCTCAACAAGTGTTTGGTGAAAGTCAATTCCAGTTAACTTCTCCCCGTGTTCCTTTAATTCATTCCTGATCTCGCTTATAGTTTGGTCAACCTGTGCAAATCTATTTTCAATGGAATTCAATCTGTCATATATTCTGGGTAGCAGTTCAAGTTTGGATAGTCGGTTGTATATATCAACTATTACAGGGTCTGAAGTCGGGGCGGGTGGGGCGCTGTGCTGTTG